CAGGGGCACGAGGAATTCATCGCCACCCTCTGTCGATGTTTGGAGACTGTGGAGGGGGACGGCGAGAAGATCGACGTAGGGCGGGGGGGAGGGAGGGATGGAGGGCAAGGGCCCTACAGGGGAGGGCAAACGTGTCAGGAGTGGTCTCACCAATGTTCGCCTTCCTCTTCATTTCTCCAGATACACCCCTCGCTACAGGGAGTCAGGGATCGGATCGCCCCCCTCGTGCAAGCAGAGGCCCTGGCAGCCGACGGGAACGGCCATTCCGGAGTAGGGGGAGGGAGGGAAACAAGCCGATGGGACGGAGGAGGAGGGGGAGGGGGCACTCCCGCTCCCTCCCCGCCCTCCTCAGCCTCTGTGCAAGCCCCCATCGGCAAGGGAACAGGGATGGGGACGTTGGGCGGGGGCCGGCTTGGAATTAACGGCCGGGAAAGTGAATCTAACGGTCGCGTAACGGCCGTTTCGTCATCCACTATCTCCGCGGCCCCGATGTTGAATGCTGCCGTGATGGCAGCAAGGGCAAAGATAGCTGCGGCGACGGGACCAGAAGGAGGGTCGTCAATGCATTCTACAAGAAGCAGCAGCAGGCTTGTGGATGAAGGCGGGGGAGGGAGGAGGGAAAGGGAGGAGAGTGACAAGCCCCCATCCAAACCTGCCTCCCCGGCTACGTCCCGCTACCGGAGCAGCGAGCGGGAAAGGGGGAGCCGACGGTCGTCCGAACGGAACGGGAGCCGGCGTCAGGACGGTGGTTCTGCGGGAAGTAGTAGGCGAAGACCGCAGGTGGAGGAGGACGAGAGGTATCAGCCTCGATCGCGGTCGCGTTCGCGCTCGGCTTCTCCCTACCGGCGGTCAAGAAGGAGTTCCCGGCGATCCCAGGAAAGGGGAGGGAGTTACAGACGGTATTGAGGAGGGTGGTGGATGATTTGGAGGGAAGAGCTATCGGGCGGGGAAGGAAGTGGCGTGAGGTGCCTGGAGCTGCACTAGGAAGAGGAAGGCAAGGGGGGATATGAAACAAGCAAAGCTCGCAAGCACATTTTCAAGGGTTGTTATCCCGAACAATTGTTCTTCTGTTCTGTTTTGTTAATGATGCCCGATGGTTAAAGCAAACGAGGGGTTGCAAAAGTCTCACCGGTAAACTACACTCTCGATGTAAAAATGACGGATCAATCTCGAGACTTCAGCCCTCTTCTTTGGAATATAGATCCTACCGAATGTAATAGATTCCACATGCAGTTCTGGTGGCACTATTCCGTTCTTTCCCATTTCTGTCGCCCTTTTTGGACCCGCACAGACGCAAACGGAGACGAAAAGACCGTCCGCTGGCTCGACAAGGCAGATATCGGATCGATCTGCTGACCTTTTCCCGTAAAGTTGGTTAAACACAATCCTAGAAAGCATCAAAAGCCCGCGATGGAGATCCAGACCATACAACAAATATACACATGCGCCAAATGCATCAAGCTTGGTGTGCATCTCTTCGGGCAAAAATTATTGGCACATGTTATCGACAAAGGACGCTTTCCCAGCCCCCACCTGGAGATCAACAATTACCCGAGACGAATAATTCCAGCGAGTGTAAACATTAAATTTATTTGGACAGTCAAGTCGTGATTGCGCGGTGGCATATGTTTGAACGCGGTGTCCATCGTTTCTGTGCACGTTTCTCCCCGAGTACGGAGTGCGGGGTATATTTTTGACCTTCCTCGGGGCTTTCCCCTGGCGTCATCCCTTACCGTATCGAATGCAGGGACATTCCCTTTTGGTCCGCCCACGAGCGGGGCGTGCGAGCTCGTGCGACTTCCCGGGTAGACACCTGCACGGATGTCGACGTGTGTTTTTCGGGTCTCCTGCTCCACTTGTCCATGACTCATGAAACTTTGGTCTGTCTTCTCTATTTGGTTAGTTCAGAAAAGCGCAGATCCGTCGCCTAGCTTCAGGAACGCACCTGGGGTAACGAGATAATGCCACGCTCCCCGACAAATTTGCTGCCTCGTGGCGTCAACTCCTACAGTCTTGAGGTACGTATATCTTGAACTGTGAATGGAAATGGACGTGTCTGTCCTTTCATTGGCCGCGTTCTTGGACACCCTGCCGCCTTCGATCCGTGTCCCGGCGGATCCTCCAGCGCGTTGACACCATCATAAGCTTCCCGTCCCTAGGCCTTCCTTGGCAGCCAGAACATACTTTTATGCCTTCTTCTGTATCTTTACTCCTGACTTTTAAAAGATCGCCCCGAGGAATATAATGCAGTACGTGCTTTTCCCTTTGCTGTCATTGACCCAACCATTGCATCTTCCCTCCCTCCCCCGCTACCTTCCCTTCAGGCGATCAATACGGCGAAAAGCAATTCCTCGCCATCTCCCGCCACAAGTACCGAAAACATCTCCTCCCCTACCTCCCCTGCCGCCTCGGTACCGAAAGAACGACGGGCCTCGCAACGCTTTGAATGGGATTTCCGCCTCGACGGAGATCCCCCCCCCCGGGAGTCACCCCGTGCCAGCGCTCAGATCTCGGAATCAAATTATCCAGAAAAGAATGCGGGACCGGCCCTGCTTTCAACACTGTCTAACACCACGTCGCACCGGGCTTCGAGGTCTTCCAGCCTGCTCCCTTCGCCCCAAAGAGCGGCCCTGTCGGGACATGCTTCCTCCACAGTGACCCTTTCCTCCCCCACTCCCTCCGCTCCTCACCCTGATTCTTCGGCGCTCATGGTCGCCTCGAAACCAGGCACCAATACACACAAGTATCAAAGCGGAGGGGACACGTCTTTGGGTCCTGTCTCTCAGGAGTCCGCCCTCCCCGCCCGACGGGGAGAAGGCGGGGGGGAGGGAGGGCTGGTAGGAGGGAAGGAGGTAGGGGCGGAGGAAAAGAGGGCAGGGACGATCGATACGAACACTCAAAAAAGTCGTGCACAAACCATTGACAAAGCAGCAGGCCCTCCAAGGGTCTCGCATTCCCTCCAAAACGAGGAGGAGGCGTCTGGGGAAGGGGAGGGGAAGAAAGGAGGGAAACGGCGAGGAGGAGGGGGAGGGAAGGAGGGAGGGAAGGAGGGAGGGAGGCGCGGCAACCGAGGGAAGGGTCTAGGTCGGCAGGGAACTTCCGTAGTGGCCCCTACGGACGCGTCCGGTTTGAGTGGGATGCACAAGCATCTGAGCGAGAGCAGCCTCTCCCTCACGTCCTCCCTCCCGTCCTCGCTGGCCGGGGAGGGGAAAGGGGGAGGGGCGCGACGACGGCGGGGGCGCCGCAACCACCTGAAAGACAAGGGAGGGCCGCAGCAGGCGGTCTCGCATACCCACGGAGGGGGG